GATGACATCATAGTCTATTCCGAGAGCTACGAGGAACACGTCGAGCACCTGCAGAGGGTGCTAGAGAAGATTGAGGTCCACCAACTACGTCTGAATCCCGAGAAATGCAAGTTTGCGACAACCCGCCTGCCATACTTGGGATACGAAGTGGAGGGACCTTTCACGAGAGCCAGGGAATGTCATCTTCTGAAAGTGAAGAATTTTGAAAGGCCCCGAAACAAACGTCAGGTTCAGGCGTTTTTGGGTCTAGTCAATTGGCTTCGAGGCTACATTCCGAACTTGGCAACATTGGTGGCCCCCTTGACAGAGCTGACAGGAAACGAGAAGTTCCTGTGGACTACCGCCTGCGAGGAGAGCTGGGTCAACACCAAGATTGCCTTAGAGAAGCCACAGAAGTTGGAACGACCGCATCCAGGATGGAGGTTCATTCTACAGGTGGACGCGTCGGACGAAGGGATGGGCGCCGTCTTAATGCAGCAAGATCCAGAAGGCCGGCGTCACCTGATCCATTTTAGTTCCTCCAAGTTCCACAAGGCGGAAAAAAGTTACCACATCAATGAGAAGGAGTGCCTAGCGATGGTCTGGGCAGTTCGGAGGTACCGCCAGTACCTCGAGGACCAGAGGTTCACCATCCGGACCGACAACCGGGCTTTGGTGTGGCTCCAAAGCCACCAGGACGACAGGGCCAAGCTCACCAGGTGGGCCTTGCTACTACAGGAGTTCTCGTTCGACATAGAACACGTAGCGGGAAAATCCAATCAGCTGCCGGACTTCCTATCCCGCAATGCAGCTGACTGTCCTGAAGGCCCAGCCGTGGAATACAACGAGATGATCCCGACGCCTGCCGTATGCCTGGTGCAGGACGAACCCCTGGTCCAATCCATCCTCAAGGGACAGCTGGTGGACCCAGTTACCCAAGGCTTGGTCCGGAGGATCAAGCGCGTGGAAGAAGACGGCCCCCGGGACGACACCGACCGAAGCCTGGCGGCAAACTTCTTGGTATCGGCGGAAAACAACCTGTTCCAACGCCGACCAGACGACTCCTGCCGAGTCTACGTGCCCGCTGGCATGCGTGGACAAGTCCTGGAATGGTTCCACGCCGGAGATGCGGGCGCCCATCCAGGGCAAAAGGAAACGCAGCGGGCCATCGACGGGAGGTTCTACTGGGACCAGATGGGTGCAGAGATCCGCCGATACGTGCAGGCTTGCCTAGTCTGTAAGCTGATCAAAGGGCGTAATCTTCAAGAAGCCGCGCCGATGTCTACCCACAAGCCAACCAAAGTTTGGCAAACTATTTCCCTGGACACGCTGGGACGATACCGCGGTGATGGTCAGGAACCCGAATACGCCCTGATCGTCGAGGATATCCTGACCAAGTGGACGGAAGCAGTCGCTGTGAAGGATGCCCGTCACAACACGATCACCGCATTTCTCGACCAGCTGTTTATGAAGTATGGAGTTCCCGAAGTAATCATCACAGATTGCGCATCCCAATTCACGTTTAAGAAATGGGAACGTTACTGCCGGAAGCTAGGGATTCAAATGGTAAACTCAGCAGCCTACCACCAAAGGGCAAACCCGGTGGAACGCCAAGTTCAAGAGACCAAGAAAATCCTGCGAGCACTGATGAAGACCAACCCGAGATCCAAGTGGCACGAGCTATTACCCCGCGCCACGGGGATCCTACGAAGTCGAGCCAACAGAGCCACGGGGGAGACGCCAGCCAGAGCCTTTTTGGGGTACGAGCCCCGACAACCAGGCGACTGGCTCATACCGAGAGCTGACGAGGTTCGACTAGCCCGAGACGCCCACGATGAACAACTCCGGACCAGGAAACAAATCTTCGCCCGTGAGTACGTGGGCGACCCGGCCCAGATTCCAGTCCAATTCGAAGTCAACGACGAGGTGCTGATCCGGAACCATGAACGAGGGGTTTTTGGAGACCCTTGGCGAGGCCCTTTCAGCATCTACAGGAAGCTGTCGCCGGTCACGTACGAGGTCCAGACCGACGGCCGAATCGTCCGGCTACACGTGGACGATCTACGGCCGGCCCCTCAACGACAAGTGCAATAGTGACGTGCCGTGCGATAAAACAATGCTACGAGTGCGCGTTACAAACAAATTGTCCGATTCCAAACCTATGTGATATTAGCTAAATAATTTATTGTTGTTATTTTCTGAATTTTTGAATAAATCTAGACGGTTTGTTCTTAAATCCAGGGGGGCATGTCGAAACGGTCCTCAGTCGCTGCTTGCACCTGATTGGCCACACATCGTGGCTAATCAGAGCACGACTGAGGTCCGCTCGGCTATAAAAGAAACGACGCGAGTCGTTTCAAATCAGTCTCGATCGAGCTTTCATCGAGTAAGCTACCAGTCCTCCTGGTAACTAAGTGGCAAACCGTCAACTTGAACTTACCTACTGTTTTTATTCATCGACCTGAACCCAGCCAGCAGTTCCTGCCCAAGCCCTGGTGAACAGGCACAATTTGTTCTTGTCAGAACAAACCAGCGTCGAAGACCGAGGCAGTCACCAGGTGATCCGCCGAAGCGATCCTGTCCAAGTCCTGAGTGTAGGCACCAATAGTTCTTGTTAGGACTACAACGTTGAAGAAGACGTCCAGAGCCCCAGGTCCCTGTCATCGGCAGTGGCCGTTTGGTCAGCATCCGGACGTCACAGCTTCCAGCGGGGCCGATCCCTGGCCCCCATTAGGGCCGCTTCCAGGCCAGCGAGTGGGCCGTTCCCAGGCCAGCGAGTGGGCCGTTCCCAGGCCGGCATCAGGGCCGATCCCAGGTCATCCGCAGGGCCGATCCCAGGCCTGCTTTAGGGCCGTTCCCAGGCCAGCTACCGGGCCGTTCCCAGGCCCCTGTAGGGCCGATCCAGGCCATCCATTGAGGCGACGCTGTCCATGGTGACCACCCGCAGCCAAGCCGCGATGACCGACACCACGGGCCAGAACCCGACCCACCAGGTGGATCCAGAGGTGGAAGACTTCCACCAGGCCGAAGATTCCTTCGAGGAGGATGTCATTCTGGATCCCCAGGCTGCCCTCGTCGATGATCAGCCCCTTACGCCATCGGACACCACCACGATCCTCGAGGACCAACCCGGAAGAATACCGGCACCAGGGCCGGTGTCTTCCATGCTACAACCGGACCTGGAGGTCCGCGTACAACAGTTGAATCATTGTGAATCGTGAACTTGAGCAGATAGGATACACCGACAACCAGGCGACTGGCTCATACCGAGAGCTGACGAGGTTCGACTAGCCCGAGACGCCCACGATGAACAACTCCGGACCAGGAAACAAATCTTCGCCCGTGAGTACGTGGGCGACCCGGCCCAGATTCCAGTCCAATTCGAAGTCAACGACGAGGTGCTGATCCGGAACCATGAACGAGGGGTTTTTGGAGACCCTTGGCGAGGCCCTTTCAGCATCTACAGGAAGCTGTCGCCGGTCACGTACGAGGTCCAGACCGACGGCCGAATCGTCCGGCTACACGTGGACGATCTACGGCCGGCCCCTCAACGACAAGTGCAATAGTGACGTGCCGTGCGATAAAACAATGCTACGAGTGCGCGTTACAAACAAATTGTCCGATTCCAAACCTATGTGATATTAGCTAAATAATTTATTGTTGTTATTTTCTGAATTTTTGAATAAATCTAGACGGTTTGTTCTTAAATCCAGGGGGGCATGTCGAAACGGTCCTCAGTCGCTGCTTGCACCTGATTGGCCACACATCGTGGCTAATCAGAGCACGACTGAGGTCCGCTCGGCTATAAAAGAAACGACGCGAGTCGTTTCAAATCAGTCTCGATCGAGCTTTCATCGAGTAAGCTACCAGTCCTCCTGGTAACTAAGTGGCAAACCGTCAACTTGAACTTACCTACTGTTTTTATTCATCGACCTGAACCCAGCCAGCAGTTCCTGCCCAAGCCCTGGTGAACAGGCACAATTTGTTCTTGTCAGAACAAACCAGCGTCGAAGACCGAGGCAGTCACCAGGTGATCCGCCGAAGCGATCCTGTCCAAGTCCTGAGTGTAGGCACCAATAGTTCTTGTTAGGACTACAACGTTGAAGAAGACGTCCAGAGCCCCAGGTCCCTGTCATCGGCAGTGGCCGTTTGGTCAGCATCCGGACGTCACAGCTTCCAGCGGGGCCGATCCCTGGCCCCCATTAGGGCCGCTTCCAGGCCAGCGAGTGGGCCGTTCCCAGGCCAGCGAGTGGGCCGTTCCCAGGCCGGCATCAGGGCCGATCCCAGGTCATCCGCAGGGCCGATCCCAGGCCTGCTTTAGGGCCGTTCCCAGGCCAGCTACCGGGCCGTTCCCAGGCCCCTGTAGGGCCGATCCAGGCCATCCATTGAGGCGACGCTGTCCATGGTGACCACCCGCAGCCAAGCCGCGATGACCGACACCACGGGCCAGAACCCGACCCACCAGGTGGATCCAGAGGTGGAAGACTTCCACCAGGCCGAAGATTCCTTCGAGGAGGATGTCATTCTGGATCCCCAGGCTGCCCTCGTCGATGATCAGCCCCTTACGCCATCGGACACCACCACGATCCTCGAGGACCAACCCGGAAGAATACCGGCACCAGGGCCGGTGTCTTCCATGCTACAACCGGACCTGGAGGTCCGCGTACAACAGTTGAATCATTGTGAATCGTGAACTTGAGCAGATAGGATACACCGACGCTGAACTGAGTAGGCGTCGGACCCTCATATGCTTCGTTTTTTGTTTTTACACCGTGAATTTGTTCCAATTTTCTGTCAATCTACGTGCACGAGGTTAGTGTTTATTGTATGTCCGTCCAAATTATTTCTATCGTTTATTTATTGTATTTTATTCTATAAGTATTATTATGTGCATTCTACAAATCATAACGGCGAAAAAAGCATCATGCTTGTGCATATAAATTGCTATTTTTGCCCAAAGATCGAGTTCCGTAGCCTTCGGCCACTGCGAAGGGTTTGCTACGGAAACAAAGCGCTCTCAGGCTTTATAGCCAGCCCAACAGAGCTCACAAGCCCCGCCCCCCATTTCTTGACCACTCATTGGTCAGCCAAAGTGTTCACCTCGTGCACTGAACTTGCTTCGTTATACCAATTATTTATTGATTTTAAAAACTTTTTACATTTATTTTGTCCATTTTTAACATTTTTATCTATTTATTTTGTCTAGTCCACCTAGTTTTACATATTCTAATCCAAACTACCAGCCCAAGTGCCGCTGCTCTCGAGTACGGTGTTGTACACGGACCTCCAGGTCCGGTTGAAGCAAGGAAGTCACCGGCCCTGGTGCCGGTATTCTTCCGGGTTGGCCCTCGAGGATCGTGGTGGTTTCTGACGGCGTCAGAGGCTGACCATTGACGTGGGCAGCCTGGGGGTCCAGATTGACATCCTCCTCGAAAGAATCTTCGGCTTGATGGAAGTCTTCCACCTCTGGATCCACCAGGTGGGTCGGGTCAGTGCCCGTGGCGTCAGTCATCGCGGCTTGGCTGCGGGTGGTGACCATGGACAGCGTCGCCTCGGCGGATGGCTTGGATCGGCCCTACAGGGACCTGGGAACGGCCCGGTAGCTGGCCTGGGAACGGCCCTGAAGCAGGCCTGGGATCGGCCCTGCGGTCGGCCTGGGAACGGCCCTGATGCTGGCCTGGGAACGGCCCTGATGCCGGCCTGGGATCGGCCCACTCGCTGGCCTGGAAGCGGCCCTAATGGGGGCCAGGGATCGGCCCCGCTGGAAGCTGTGACGTCCGAAGAACTGACCAAACGGCCACTGCCGATGACAGGTGACCTGGGGCTCTGGACGTCTTCTTCACGATGCTTAGTTCTAATAAGAACTAGTTGTGCCTGCACTCAGGTCTTGGACAGGATCACTTCGGTGGAACACCAGGTGTCTGCCTCGGGTCCTCGACGCTGGTTTGTTCTTATAAGAACAAATTGTGCCTGTTCACAGGACTTGGACAGGAACTGCTGGTGGTGACCAGGTCGAAGAATAAAACAGTAGGTATGGTATAAGTCGACGGTTTGCTGCTTGGTTACCAGGAGGACTGGTGACTTTATCTCTTGTGATGCTCAAGAGAGACTGTTGGCTAGCTCAAGAGAGACTGACTTGAAACGACTCGCGTCGTTTCTTTTATAGCCGAACGAAACCTCAGTCGTGCTCTGATTCGCCACGATGTGTGGCCAATCAGGTGCAAGCAGCGACTGAGGCCCGTTTCGACATGCCCCCCTGGATTTTAGACAAACCGTCTTGGTTTATTTATAAACTCAGAGAACATAATATACAATAATATCACAGTTTTACATGATTAAAAAAATGTTCGTACAGATATATACGCGCACTCGCTAATTTCTTCGCACTACACAATTCACCCGACTTTCTTCAACTCTCACCGAGGTTCTTGGTGGTTGCTGAACGAGAGACGACGCAAGCTCTTCTCCTCTGGCCCTCCTCCATTTGGACGCGAATCATTTCCGGTTTCCCCAACGGCATTCTCTGGTAACCCTGACCAGAGTCTGCAGGAACGCCTTCCTGGTTGATCCGGTCCGTGGAGGTCTTCACAACCTTCACGCCATAACTTAGGATTGGTTCCGCTGTCGTAGTTATACAGGTGTCTTCCCGGAATCCCTGCCTGGAAGCACCAACTACCATCCCACGCGGAAATCCTCTGCTTCGTCCTTCACTCCTCCTCTCTTCTGGTAGTCGATCTATCGTGGATTCTCTCATAGCGCTGGTCCTTCCCGGATTCCCCAAACGGCACCCTCTGGTAACGTTGACCAGAGTATGACGGATTCCTGGGTTGACCCGTTCCGTAGAGCCTCCACGATGTCCATGCCCTGGACTTAGAATGGAACCTCTGATGTAGTTTATACGGGCGTCTTCCGGAATCGATGCCGGAAGCACCAACTACCATCGCCTGTGGATCTTCTTCTTCGTCCTGGACATGCTGTCACGGCTACCAGTGTTCAGCGGGTGTTTCACCAACGTCCCTTACGGCCACCCGTGCTACTCGATCGTTCTCAGGGGCCCTCTTCCTTCCGTTGAAGATCTTCAGGCTTCTTCTTCGTGTTTTTTGCTTCGTCTTCCTCTTGGTTGTTAAGGAAGACGTTTACGTGGACGAAGTCGTCCTTTATGCGCGCGCCATCGCGCACACCATTTCCCCGAGGTCCGGGTATGAGGGTCGGGACATCGGAACTGGTGGTAATTCGTCCGAAAAGGTCCCTGCTCGGGCGCCATGTTGTACACGGACCTCCAGGTCCGGTTGAAGCAAGGAAGTCACCGGCCCTGGTGCCGGTATTCTTCCGGGTTGGCCCTCGAGGATCGTGGTGGTTTCTGACGGCGTCAGAGGCTGACCATTGACGTGGGCAGCCTGGGGGTCCAGATTGACATCCTCCTCGAAAGAATCTTCGGCTTGATGGAAGTCTTCCACCTCTGGATCCACCAGGTGGGTCGGGTTTCGACAACGGCTGTTGTACTCGATCGCTTGGTACGGACGAAATCGTAGAATCGCCCGTCACCAACATCGGTATTCTTCCGGGTTGGTTCTCTAATACGATGGTTGCATCCGAGGATGGCGGGGAAAGTGGACCTGGGGCTACGAGGTCCGCCTCATCGACGATGCTGTCTTCGGCCTCATGGAAGTGGTCAACCTCCTCGGTGACCACTGGATTGGAAGCGGCGACGCCCTCCGTAGATGGTTCCGACATCTGTGTTTGTGACCGGGTCAATACCATAAGCGATGTCTATGGATAGGCCTGGGAACGGCCCGTAATATGGCCTGGGATCGGCCCTGCAACTGGCCTGGGATCGGCCCTGCTGACGGCCTGGAAGCGGCCCTGCGACTGGCCTGGGATCGGCCCACTCGTCGGTCTGGAAACGACCCTGCTGAGGGCCTGGAATAGGCCCTGCTGGATACTCCTCTTGTTCCACTAGGTGTCTCGTTCGGGGCCACTGTCGAAGACCAGTGACCAAAGCACACGTCGTGGAAATAATCCTGATAAGGACTGATTGCCCCTCCTGAGGACTTCGAAGTGAAGCAGTGAAGTTTCTCTTAGGGGTAGCTCTGATAAGAGCCGTGGTTTGCCTGTGCACCAGGTCTTTGGAATGAAACACCAGAGTAGCTGGTGAAGACGGTTTGCTATAGGCCACCAGTTAGCTGGGGGCTTGTCGAATCTTGGCTCAAGTGTCACTTGAGGTATCTTGATGATGACTGACTTGAACGGTGCTCGGACCGTTCTTATATAGAAACGCGGACCTCAGCCGTGCTCTGATTCGTCCCGATGTTTGACCAATCAGAGACGAACAGCGACTGAGGCCCGTTTCGACATGCCCCCCTGGTTTTTTAAACAAACCGTCAAGATTTATTTAAAAAATTCAGGTAAATAACAATAAACTTTGGATTTTTACAAAAATAAATGTTCGTACAGAGTTTTCGCGCACTTGCATTGTTTTTTGAGCACTGCACTTACTCTGCTATTTCACTTATTGCACTTGTCTTGGGATGGGCCTGATGTCGTCTACGTGAAGTGGAACTGCTCGGCCATCCGTTCTAACCTCGTATGTCACCGGCGAAATCCTTCTGACGACGGTGAATGGGCCCTTCCAAGGGTCGCCGAAGTTGGTCCTTTCGTGGTTTTTGATTAAAACCTCGTCCCCCGCTTGGAATTGCACCGGAACGTGAGCTGGATCGCCCACGTATTCTCTGGCGAAGATTTGTTTCCTTCGGCGGAGTTGTCCATCATGGTTTTCCCTCGACTGTTGGACCTCCTGGGCTCGGGGAATGAGCCAATCGCCGGGCTGGCGGGGCTCGTAGCCAAGGAACGCCTTGGCTGGTGTCTCCCCTGTGGCACGGTTGACTCGTCCTCGAAGTATCCCTGTGGCTCGTGGTAGAAGTTCATACCAGGGGGCTCGTGGATTGGTTTTCATCAGTGCTCGAATGATTTTTTTCGTTTCTTGCACCTGTCTCTCCACGGGGTTGGCCCTTTGGTGATAGGCCGCTGCGTTGACCATCCGGATACCCAGTTTTCTGCAATATCGTTCCCATTTCGTGAGTGTGAACTGGGAAGCGCAGTCAGCTACGATGATTTCCGGAACTCCATAACGCAGGAACAATCCATCCAGCACGGCGGTGATGGTTTCGTGACGGGAGTCTTTGACTGCAGTGGCTTCTGTCCATTTTGTCAAAATATCTTCTACAATCACAGCGTACTCGGGTTCGTTTCCATTTCCTCGGTAGCGGCCCAGCGTGTCGATGGATATCATCTGCCAGGCCTTGGTCGGGGAGTGGGTTGTCATCGGGGCTGCCTCTTGGATGTTTCTACCCTTGATTTGTCGGCAAACTAAGCAAGCTTGCACGTATCGCTTAATTTGGGCCCCCATCCGGTCCCAGTAGAAACGTCCGTCGATGGCTCTAGTTGTCTCCTTCTGACCAGGGTGTGCCCCGGCGTCGCTGGCGTGGAAATGGTCCAGGATCTTCTGTCGCATCCCCTCCGGCACGTAGATTCGACAAGATCCGTCTTGTCGACGTTGGAACAGGTTATTTGTGGCTGACACCAGGAAGTTGGCCACCAGACTGCGGTCGGTGTCGTCCTGGGGTCCATCCTCTTCAGCCCGTTTGATCCGGCGTACCAATCCCTGGGTAACGTTGTCCACCAGTTGCCCGTTCAATACCTCTTGTATCAGAGGTTCATCCTGGACGGCACAAACTTCGGGTGTAGGGATCAGCTCGTCGTACTGGACAGCGGGGCCCTCCTTGCATTCCACAGCATTCCTGGACAAGTAGTCGGGCAGTTGGTTTGTCTTCCCTGGTACATGTTCGAGGTGGAACGAAAATTCCTGTAGCAGTAGTGACCACCTGGTCAGCTTGGCCCTGTCGTCTTTGTGATTTTGCAACCACACCAAGGCCCTGTTGTCCGTCCTGATGGTAAAATGCTGATCCTCGAGGTACGGCCTGTACCTCCTGACGGCCCAAACCATCGCCAAGCATTCCTTTTCATTCACGTGGTACTGTTTCTCGGCCTTGTGGAATTTCGAGGAACTGAAGTGGATTAAATGCTTGGCACCTTCTGGATCCTCTTGCATCAGA